TCATGAGGTGCCGGATATGCAAATCTGAGGGATTTTAGTGGACAATCAGAGTATGGTTTTGAAGGTGAGGTTTTGAAGGGAAGCCAATCATGGCTTTTGGCATTGTGTAATTATTTGCTCTCTGAGAAAGGGCAATATTCGCTGGTGCGCAGCATCCCACAAGGCACATGTGTGTGTGTGCACATGCATGTGTGTGTGTGTGCCCAAGATCCTAGGAAGAGAATGAAGGGATTGCATGATGGCCATCCCTCCTGGGGGGTGATTTCTCCCTCTCCCTCTCACCATCTCTCTCTGTCTCTCTGTCTCTGGCAAGTGCAAACACTCTTATGTGAAAAGGTGGTGTGGTGGTTAAGGTGTTGGACACTCCCCATGTGGCCGACCATGGTTTGAGTCCTGGACCTGGTGGCTTGCTTTCTCACTTTCTCTCCCTCTCTCTCTCCTCTCTCATCAAATTAAAAATGAATGAATGAATAAATAAAAATTAAATACTTTTTTTAAAAAATAAAGAGGCGGCAGGGGGCGCTCCAGAGGTGGTGGAGAGAGCCTAATGGCACGTAGCTGCCTGCAGTTGCAGAGCCAGACCTGTGGCTGGTGAAACACCCCAGGGGTCTGTGCCCCAAATCCCAGCAGGACGGAGAAATGGAGAAGACGCTTTTGTGCAGGATCACGCCCCATGGCGAGTAATTCCACCTTTTCCTGCCTCTCTCTGGAGAGCCTACACACCCTCTGGCAAAAAAAAAATAAATAAAACTAAAAATTAAATAAATAAAAATGGCATCGGGAACCCCCAGGTTGAACGACCCCTATGGCACAAACAAACAAACAAACAACAAAACAAAACTATTAAAAAGCAAAAACAAAAGACCAAATCAAACAATAAAAACAGCTCTTCCTCCATTAAAGAAGTAATCGCCCCCTCTCCAGCACCATCCAGCAGATGCCTGAAGACTCAGGCCGGGATGGCAACGTTAGGGTCCTTATTTTTATCTGATTGAGATTTTTCTGTATGTGGGGGCCCCCTCCTGACTGGCTCCGGGAGC